TCTTCAAATATTTTCTCTGGTCTTTTTTCTCTCTCTTCTCCTTCTGGGACCCCTATAATGCAAATGTTGTTGTGTTTAATGTTGTTGCAGAGGTCTCTTAGGCTGTCTTCATTTCCTTTCATTCTTTTTTCTTTTTTCTGTTCCACAGCAGTGAATTCCACCATTCTGTCTTCCAGGTCAGTTATCCGTTCTTCTGCCTCAGTTATTCTGCTACTGATTCCTTCTAGTGTATTTTTCATTTCAGTTATTGTATTGTTCATCTCTGTTCTTTAATTCTTCTAGGTCTTTGTTAATTAAACCTTTCTTGCATCTTCTCGATCTTTGCCTCCATTCTCTTTCCGTGGTCCTGGATCATCTTCACTATCATTATTCTGAATTCTTTTTCTGGAAGGTTGCTTATCTCCACTTCATTTAGTTGTTTTTCTGGGGTTTTATCTTGTTCCTTCATGTGGTACATAGCCCTCTGCCTTTTCACCTTGTCTGTCTCTCTCTGAATGTGGTTTTTGTTCCACAGGCTGCAGGATTGTAGTTCTTCTTACTTCTGCTGCCTGCCCTCTGGTGGATGAGGTTATCTAAGAGGCTTGTGCAAGTTTCCTGATGGGAGGGACTGGTGGTGGGTAGAGCTGACTGTTGCTCTGGTGGGCAGAGCTCAGTAAAACTTTAATCCACTTGACTGCTGATGGGTGGGGCTGGGTTCCCTCCCTGTTGGTTGTTTGGCCTGAGGCAACCCAACCCTGGAGCCTACCTGGGCTCTTTGGTGGGGCTAACGGCAGACTCTGGGAGGGCTCACTCCAAGGAGTTCTTCCCAGAACTTCTGCTGCCAGTGTCCTTGTCCCCATGGTGAGCCACAGCCACCCCCCACCTCTGCAGGAGACCCTCCAACACTAGCAGGTAGGTCTGGTTCAGTCTCCCCTGGGGTCACTGCTCCTTCCCCTGGGTCCCAATGCGCACACTACTTTGTGTGTGCCCTCCAAGAGTGGAGTCTCTTTCTCCCCCAGTCCTGTTGAAGTCCTGCAATCAAATCCCGCTAGCCTTCAAAGTCTGATTCTCTAGGAATTCCTCCTCCCGTTGCCGGACCCCCAGGTTGGGAAGCCTGACGTGGGGCTCAGAACCTTCACTCCAGTGGGTGGACTTCTGTAGTATGAGTGTTCTCCAGTCTGTGAGTCACCCACCCAGCAGTTATGGGGTTTGATTTTACTGTGATTGCGCCCCTCCTACTGTCTCATTGTGGGTTCTTCTTTGTCTTTGGATGTGGGGTATCTTTTTTGGTGAGTTCCAGTGTCTTCCTGTCGATGACTGTCCAGCAGCTAGTTGTGATTCTGGTGTTCTCACAAGAGGGAGTGAGAGCACGTCCTTCTACTCCACCATCTTGGTTCAGGGCCAGGGACTTTGTTCTTAATGCTTTCACCAATTCTTTAGTCCTTAGCAATCTGCTAGAAGACTTCTGTGGCAGCTTATTTTCACTACTGAAGGCAGGATTTCATCAAAGGGGGTAGCAAAGCATCACAGGAATTCAGGTTGTAGTAGAGTCAAACCTGGGTTCAAGTGTCACTCTCTCAGTCATCTTGGGCAAATGATTTAACCTCTCTAAGCCTCTGTTTCCTTATGTACAAAGTGGAGATACTAGTATTTACCTTGGGGTTGGCTGTGAATATTAAGTGAGGTTATGAATGTAAAATCCTTAACACATTGCATGGAACATTTTAAATATCTAGTAAATCTTACCTGTTATGAGGATCAAAGACTGTAGGCAAAGGGGCTTAGTAGAGAGAGGGGAAGGATGCTAAAAGGAAGTTCTTATCATTTAGCCTATGATAGACCCTATTTACTTTCAATATGAGTGAACAAATAAAAATGCTTGGAGGTGTTACAAGGGAAGAGACTATACTGTCAGTCAAATTTGTTCAGTGATTACTATGGCCAGGGAATGGAACAGAAATAGGCAAGACCCCTACCTTCAGGAGTCTTAAGAGTCTAGTTTCTCAGTAAAACTTCAGTAGCGACTGCTAATCTCGTAAGAATGTGGTAAAAATAAATAGGTGAAACTCTGAAATAATGTGAGTCTCATTATAGAATTAGAGAGAACCATAAGAAATCTGCCAGTCCCATCTTTAGATGGGTGAAAATCTGGGACACAGGCATTATAAGAAGTAAAAAGAAAAAAAAGAAAAAAAAAAAGAAGTAAAAAGGATCACTGCTGGTAGAATGTCATTCTGGTTCTGTTTCAAATCGAGAAATGTCAGAGAAGTACTCAACCTTTATAAATAATAATTTAAATGAAAATTAGGGTGTGGTTGACAAAGTATTTCCAGTTCATGCGATTATTTTCAAATTAATATAAAATACCATTGTTCAAAACCACTTAAATCCCAACAAAAAAGAAATATGCAAATAAATTGTGGCACTTATAGCATGTCATGACTAAAAATCAGGTTTTCAAAGACTAAATAATGACATCAGGAAATGCTTTATGGTAAGTGAAAAAAAAAAGCAAGCATAGATATAGTATGGTTCTATTTTTTAAAATAGAAATAGAAAAGTGTATAGTATTACAAAGCTATAGTAACCAAAACAGTATGGTATTGGCATAAAAACAGACACGTAGATCAGTGGAACAGAATGGAAAGCCCAGAGATAAACGCACACATATGGTTAATTTATGACAAAGAAGTCAAAAATATATTGGGAAAAGATAGTCTCTTCAATAAATGGGGTTGGAAAAACTGGACAGCCACATGTGAAAGAATGAAACTGGACCACTGTCTTTCACCATGCACAAAAATTAATTCAAAATGGATTAAAGACTTGAATGTAAGACCTGAAACCACAAAACTCCTAGAAGAAACAGTGGGTAAGGTCCTTGACATTGGTCTTGGCAACTGTTGTTTGGATTTCACACCAAAAGCAAAGGCAACAAATGCAAAAATAAACAGTGGGACTACATCAAACTAAAAAGCTTCTGTACAGTATAGGAAACCATCAACAAAATGAAAAGGCAACCTACCAAATGGGAGAAAATATTTGCAAATCATGTATCTGACAAGGGGGTTAATATCCAAAATATATAAAGAACTCATACAACTCAACAGAAAAAAAAATCCAATTAAAAAATGGTCAGGGCTTCCCTGGTGGCACAGTGGTTGAGAGTCTGCCTGCTGATGCAGGGGACACGGGTTCGTGCCCTGGTCCGGGAAGATCCCACATGCCACGGAGCGGCTAGGCCCGTGAGCCATGGCTGCTGAGCCTGCGCGTCCGGAGCCTGTGCTCTGCAATGGGAGAGGCCACAACAGTGAGAGGCCCGTGTACCGCAAAAAAAAAAGAAAAAAAAAAAAAGGGCAGAGGAAATGAATAGACATTTTTCCAAAGAAGACATACAAGTGGCCAACAGGTACATGAAAAGGTGTTCAACATCACTAATTAGTAGGGAAATACAAATTAAAACCACAATGAGCTATCATCTCCCACCTGTTAGAATGGCTGTTAACAAGAAATAACAAGTGTTGGTGAGGATGTGGAGAAAAGGGAACACTTGTGCACTGTTGGATGCAGCCACTATGTACAACAGTATGGCGGTTCCTAAAAAAGTTAAAAATAGAACTACCATATGTTCTAGCAATTCCACTTCTGGGTATTATCTGAAGGAAACAAAATCACTATCTTGAAAATATACCTGCACACCCACACCTATGTTCAGTGCAGCATTATTTGCAATAGTCAAGACATGAAATGGAAACAACTTAAGTGTCCATCAGTGGATGAATGGATAAAGAAAATGTGACTATCTTTTTATCTATCTATATCTATATATCTATATCTATATCTATATATCTATATCTATATAGATATATCTTTAAAAAGAAGGAAATCCTGCCATTTGTGACAACACGGATGGAACTTGAGGGCATTGTGCTAAGTGAAATAAGTGAGACAGAGAAAGGCAAATACTGTGTGATCTCACTTATAATATGTGAAATCTAAAAAAAGCTGAACTCAGGACTTCCCTGGTGGTCCAGTGGTTACAAATCCACCTTCCAATGCAGGGGACGTGGGTTCGATCCCTGGTCAGGGAACTAAGATCCCACATGCCACGGGGCGACTGAGCCTGCGCGCTCTGGAGCCTGTGCACCACAACTAGAGAGAAGCCTGCCCGCCGCAACGAAGAGCCCGCACGCTGCAACTAAGACCTGACACAGCCTAAATAAATAAATATTAAATAAAAATTAAAAATAAATTTAAAAACCTGAACTCATAGATACACCACCAAATGGTGGTTGCCAGAGGAGGCGGGGAGAGCGGGGGGAGTGGGTGAAGGTAGTGGAAAGTACAAATTTCCAGTAATAAGATAAATAAGTTCTGGGGATATAATCTACAGCATGGTGACTGTAGTTAACAAGATTGTGTAAGTTAACAAGATTGTGTATTTGAGAGTTGCTAAGAGAGTGTATCTTAAAAGTTCTCATCACAAGAAAAAAAAAACCGTAACTGTGTGGTGATGGATGTTAACTAAATTTATTGTGTTAATCATTATGTTATACACCTAAAACTAATACAGTGTTATATGTCAATTTTATCCCAATTTTAAAAAGTGTGTAAAAGAAACCAATAGTTAATTACTGATAAAGCTGCATGGTGAGATTACAAGTAAATTTATTCTCTTCTTAAAACTTCTTTTGAATAAAATAAACATTTCAGAGAAAATGCTTCAGGCTCTTAAAATACTTGAGATCTATGGTGAATTAGGTTTCAGTTTAACAAAAATCACATTAAAAATCTCTTAGTTTAGGTAAGCTACCACAAAACAATACCAAGACAAAAAGTAGTACTTGAGAAGGGGAAAACTTTCAATACTACTTTAGCTCATATTGTTGTAGTATATAAATAATTATGTACTCCTGCCTATAAGGACTGACTACTGGTCAATAGATAACTTGGATTTATTAATAACATTCATAGATCTAATTCTGACATATCCTAATTCTGACATATCTCTTAAGTCATACCTTGAGAACAGCTATAAGCTTGAGAAGGATCAACTATTATGTCCATTGGGAATGAGTTGTGTGATTCCTGAGAATGTTTCTCCACCACCTCTACTGTATCACTGGATGAAGATGATGATGAAGACAATCCCAGTCTAACGTATCTTCCTTTTCTACCACAGAGTGAACAATCTACCGGTGTGGCACTAGGTCCCCGGGGCAGTTGAACTTCATCTCTGTGGTAGTTTCTAACAGCTCCACTGTGATGCACAGAGCGTTCTCGTTGCCATATATAATGGGTTGGAGCAATGGCCATAACCTATGGTGGAAAGCTTTCTTTTAGAATTTTAATAAGATTTTAAAATTTAGTAAAATTAAGAACAAAAATTATAAATCAAGAACAAGCTACCTGTAAAACTAGAGCTAAAAATCTGTCACCGATTTTTTTTTTTTTTTTTTTTTAGAAAAAAAGCATTTCCAGATAAGGCTATATTACCTATAAAGTGATTCATTGCTTGGATCCGTAAGATAATAATTGACAAAGTATTTAAATTATTTCAAACAGGAAATAGAACTGAAGCAACCTTCCAGGTTTTTCAATTCTGGATATTATAGGTTTGGGAAAAATAATACAGTTAGTCCAAAACAATACATAATTCTCTGGAATGTACTGGGTTGAAAACAATATTTTTAATTGAGGTTTCCAGCTATGTATGTTAGGCTAATCTTAACATGTTTGCAATCACAGCAAGAGATATGGTGAATGAAAACACAGGTAAGGTGCTTAACCTCTCGGTTCCTATTCTCTTGTCTGTGGTATGGAGAGAATAATGATGTCTATTGCAGAGGGCTGTTGCAAGGATTAGATGAGGGATTATTCAGAAAGTACTCAAGATTCCACACTACCTCTCAGGCACTGTTCTCTAAGGTCGGTTAGAGAACACACTGCCTTTAGAGTCAGGATAGACTTAGTTTCTTATTCTGGCTCTGCCACTTCCTAGTTGTATGATACTTTGCAAGTTACTTAACCTTTCTGAGCCTCAATATCTTCATATGGAAAACTGGGGATACCATCTGCCTCATAGGATTGTCCTGAAGGTTAAATACGTGTAAAATCCTTATCACATAGTAAACATCTGGAGAATGATAGCCATTTAAGACAAGCTAGCGAAGTGTACCTACCTGCTGACCTCATGGTGTCTAAAACTTCTAAACAGAATGTTAGAATGTTACTTCTAAGCAAAAATGTTTAGTTGCGGTTATCAGTGACCCAAGGTAAATGAGAATTGTAGAATTTGAGAGCTAGACAGTGCTTTTAAAAAAATTATTTTATTCAAGTATCTAGACAAAATTATTATTCAAAAAAGACAGACAGTGCTTTATTAATTGCCTAGACGAGTGATTTTCAAACTGGTTTGAGGAGCCCTAGGTTTCACAGACAACATTAGGGGTCACAGGAGGGGTTAAGGGAAGACACAGCAGGTGGAGGACCTCAATTTGGGGGATTGTGTGTAAAATTTTGTTTGGAAAGAAGGCTTTTGCTGTGAAGAATGAAAACCTTAAAACCCCCAGATTAAAGCTGATTCCCTCAGAAAATAGGGTTATTGTGCCTCCCCCAAGACAATGCATAAAGAATACTAGCAACCCTAATTTTTAAAGTGTACTTTAGGATTGGATTTATTTTATAATCTACTTCTTAAATCCTTCAAAACAGTTTTCAACCAAAGACATGTAATAAAGTTATATATCTTTTAAAAGGTAGAAGTAAATAAAGATATTAACTCTAAATATACACATTTCTATGCCAATGTAAAACTAGGCGCAGAGATACCCAAGGTGAGGAAGTAGAATATCAAATTTTCTTATTCCTTCCATATTTATCTACTATTTTTCTCAGTATTTCTGTTTTTATTGCTCATGTCTGGAATATCCTTTCCCTTTATTTGTCTTAGTATTTCTTTTCCTTCAATGCCCAACATAAGTCCCACCTTTCTAGAAACTCCAGCTTTCAGATTTTCTTGTTTTATTATTAATGCTACATTAGGACTCAGCATATAAATGTTAGCACTCAGATGTACCTTTTTTTTTGCGGTACGCGGGCCTCTCACTGTTGTGGCCTCTCCCATTGCGGAGCACAGGCTCCGGACGCGCAGGCTCAGCGGCCATGGCTCACAGGCCCAGCCGCTCCGCG